GACACTCCGCTGCACCCCAACACTTAGTACTAGATATATACAGGTGATTTAGAAATAACCTTATTCTTCAAGGGATAACAGGAAAATATGAGAGAAATACAAACAAGTAAAAAATTAAAAAGCAATATAAATGAATCCCAGCTGAGGAGTTTGGTACTCCTTCAAACTGTCAAGATTATCAAAAACAAGGAAAATTGGAGAAACTACATAGCCAAGATTRTCTTAAGGAGGTATGACAAATAAATAGAATGTTGTATTTCAAATGGGGTCCTGGGGAAAAATGAAGTTTGAATGAAATGTGAAATTTAGTTAATAATGATGTATCAATATTGGCTCATTAATTATAGCAAATGTACTATAAAAATGTAAGATGTTATCAATAGGGTAAACTGAATGTGGGGATAGATGGGAACCATGGATTATCTTCTCAATGTTTATAAAATCTAAAACTTTTATAAAAAATATWATCTATTTTTTAACGTGTGAAAATACAGTGATATTTGTGGAGTCCAAAGGAATGGTGTCAGTAATAAATATTTAGGAAGCTTTGATTAATTTTTTAATGGTGCTAACTTTATTATAGATGTTACAAACACTATTTTAAAATTTATTTCAGCATTGATACTGATGGAACAATGACAGTAGACTGGGATGAATGGAGAGACTACTTTTTACTGCATCCTGCAAAAAATATCAATGAGATTATTCATTTCTGGAAGCGTTCTACTGTAAGATTAGTTTGTGTTTTACTGTTTTCATTTTTCTCTAAATGTCATAGCTGTTATTATCATTGTATAGTTCCTACAACATTAGTTACCTTACTGGCTAAAGTTAAAGTACTCCTTCCTAAAATGTTCTACTGATTTAGTAAGGTAGTGGTGGGGGCTTAGTAGTCTATAGGCACAGCAACCACAGATTTGTTTGTTTGCTGAAACCTGGAAATCAAAATAATGCTTATGAAAAGGGCCTACTTTGTGTTAAGAATTCATTACTGTGCAAAGTTGGCCTGCCTTAGAGAAGTGAAAAATAATATGTATTATTTTTTCATGACCTACTACTCTTGCCTAACCTCTTGGGATTTGCTTCTTCTCCATAGACAATATAGAGGATGAAAAATGGCAAAAACTCTGGGGTGAGAATATCTGGGTTTCAAGACCACATCTGCCACCCTCTAGGTATATAAGCCCCTCTATGATTCAGCTTTCTTAATTATGTGGTGGAGAWAATAGAATGAGTTTTGAGAATTAAATTAGTATATTAATATATTTAAAACAATATGAGTATATAAGTATTCAATCAATATTATAATAGGCACTTATTCTAGTATGTTTCATCTGTGTTCCCAAATATTTATGTATTCTTGGGAAACATGTAGTATTATTTCATATGATATTTTATTTATATTGATAGTATTGTGCTAGAGGCCATATCTGATTTATTACTTGATGAATTTGTTCTCCTTACCCAGCCCCCCACCCCCTTTTTGAGGTGCTGGGGATTGAGTCCAGGGACTTAAGCATGCTAGGCAAGCATTCTGCCACTGGGCTATACCCCAGCTCATCTGATTTGTCCTTATATGTTCATCTAATTTGTTGTTTCTAACTATTACATAGCATGCATTTACCATATCTCATTTGTCCATTACCATAGTAATGGGCATTAGGTTTTCTCTAACTCTCCACTCACAGAAAATGCTTTCCTGTTATGTACCTTAGAGAATTTCATGTTTATTTCTGAATTATAGGGAATATGCATATATATTAGAGAGAGTGAGAGAGGAGAGAGAGAGAGAGAGAGAGAGAGAGAGAGAGAGAGAATTTTTAATATTTATTTTTTAGTTCTCGGCGGACACAACATCTTTGTTGATATGTGGTGCTGAGGATTGAACCCGGGCCGCACGCATGCCAGGCGAGCGTGCTACCGCTTGAGCCACATCCCCAGCCCTATATATTTTTTTTAACTAGGGCATCATTCTTATTTTATGAACTATTGTCATGTTGTTTCCAAGAATGGCTTGCAATACCAGTTAACACTTCCATCAGCAATGTGAAGTTACCTGGTTATTTACATATTGTTTATTGTTTGACATCATCCAGTTTTCTATTATTTGCCATTCTATTGGGTATAAAGTTGTATTTCATTGTTTTAATGCATTTATTTAATTCCTAGTGTACTTTGGACAGTTTTTCATAGAAATATTAGATGTTTTCATGTTCTTCTTTTCTGGGAGGAGTCCTTATCTTTCTTATTTATTGAGAGACAAGATCTCACTGTGTTGCCTAGACTGGCCTTAGACTCCTGGGTTCAAGTGATTCTCCTGCCTCAGCCTCCTAAGTAGCTGGGAATATAGATGTGTACCACAGTGTCTGGAGGGGTCCTCATTTTTTTTATTTGTTCTTTTTAGGTATGAATATTCTTTTAATAAATTATCTGTTTATATCCTTTGTCTATCATTTATATTCTTTTGATGAGTTTTTTAATCTTTGTTATTTTATAGGTGTTGTATATTTATTCTAGGTATTAATATCTATTGAGCTTAGACTTACAAACATTTTTTCTAGTATATCATTTTTCTTTTTTTATTGTTGTTTTTTTGTCAATGCTGTTTTTGGTTAAAAACAAATTCTTAATTTTTTGCTAACTAAATCCATCAAAAATGGAATGGTTTCCAGTTTTTCTATTATATTTAAGTATTTCTCTACCTTTTGTTCACAAAGAAATTCTGTATTTTCTCTTTTAAGCTATAGTTTCATCTTTTATGTTTAGGTCTTTAATTCATCTGTAGTCTGTTTATATATATATAATAAAGGCAGGCTTCTGATTTTATTTTTTCCATATATTGAGGGAATTTTGATAATATAACTAACCTGTCTCTTTCTTCCACATTTGTTTATAGTRCCACCTTTCTTGGATATGGAGCTTACATATGAACTTGTCTTTTTTTCTTGAGCTCTCTTTCTGTCTGTGTTTGGTCTATTTCTTATACAGCTATTGAACTGTTTTCATGACCATGGCTCTATATTATATGACTTATCTAGTAAAGTAAATACTCTCTACTTACCCTCCTTCCCTTATTGATCTTTTTTGTTGTTGTTTGTTTATAAAATTAACTCATGTTTTTATAAATGGAATTTTCTTATTTTTCCCCGTAGACTTTAAAATTTCTTAATTCTAGCTGCATTTTTTTTTAGAAACTTGATTATGATTACATTCATCTTAGTTTGGATTGCTATAACAAAATACCATAGATTGGTGGCTTAAACAAAAATTTATTTCTCACAGTTCTGGAGATTAGAAATTTGAGATCAGAGGTGTGGTTTTTGGTGAGTACTTTACTCCTGGTTTACAGAGGGATATTTTCTTTTTGTACTTGCACATGTTCAGAAGAGAGGTAGCTAGCTGTCTGGCCTCCTCTTAAAAGTGCACAACTCCAAATACTAACACATTAGGATTAGGATTTCAACATATGAATTTSGGATAGGGGTACACAGACATTTAGCCCACTGCATTCTTCTCCTTATCCCCTAAATTCATGTCCTTACATGCAAAATAAATTCATGCCATTATAATGGCACCCAAATTCCTAATTTGTTCCAGTATTGAATCTGTAGTCTAAATACCAACATCTTATCTAAATATCAYCAAGCTGGGCGCAGTGGTGCACACCTGTAATCCCAGCATCTTGGGAGGCTGAAGCAGAAGGATCAGAAGTTTAAAGGCAGCCTCAGCAACTTAGCTAGGCCCTGAGCAACTCAGTGACAGCCTGTCTCTAAATAAAATACAAAAAAGTGCTGGAGATGTGGCTCAGTGGTTAAGTTCATCCTCTTCAGATAGGAGCCTGTGAAACCAAGCAGGTTATGGAGAGATAGGCATGGGATATAGTTTCCATTCTAAATGGGAGAAACAGGAAAGAATGGAAGGGAAGATAGGCCCCACACAAGTCCAAAATTTAGCAGGGAAAGCTCCACAAGCTCTTAAGGCTTGAGAATAAATGTTTTTGCTTGATGTCCACCTTCTGCACACACTAAAGCTGTGATCCTGCCCCACTACCTACTARAGCAGTAGTCCATCTTCCTGGCTCTGCCCAGTGGGATTGTGCCCCAGGGGCTTTAGGTGGCTCTGCCTTCATGACCCTGCAGGGTATTGGTCCCACTCTTTGAAACTGAAGTGGAATCTGTCCTGTCCCCAAGCCCAGTCTGTGCATTCTGGGCCTGTGTTGGGAGTGGTAGTTCTGATGAAAGTTGAACCTCATCTGGGTTCTTCTTCCCTTACCTAGTAGCACATGTTTTATGCTGAATAGCTCTTTGGTTTAGTCCTGTAGGGTCTAAGAAATATGGCAGTTTTTAAAAATTTTGGCCCATTTTCTGTTTCCATTGATTTTAGTAGGCATTGTTTTTGCTTATTGTTTTTCCCTCTTTCCTTCCTAGTTTCTGTTGAGATGACTTGTTGTTGAGAGGCACAGCGAGTCGGAATGGCCCCTGGCATTTTGCCAGAAGTAATGGTTGAGAGGCAAGCCATTAAGATGATGATAATTAAGTTAAGTTGTTTATGATTGCTGTGACTGGATGGTGCTGGATTGAAACAGGCTGTGTATTCAATTGTATATAGACTCCTGCTGCCTCAGGCACCTGCTACTTTGGAGTTCTTGCGGGAATTCCTGGGGAGTTTGTGTTGGTTGGTGAAGTGGAGGGAGTTCGTTGGTGTGTGGGGTCCCTGAGAGGGTCGCGTGGGTGGCACTCAGGGGAGTTCAGAAATAAAGTTTGTTCCTGATTGAGTGGCTTGTGATTTGTGCCCAGCCAGACTGCGGCAACTTGTTAATTTCATGATTTACACGCACATTTACCTAATAGCAGTTCATTTCACTTTCAGGGTTTTCTTCCATATATACTTTTTCATTTTTTTTTGTAAAAAGGCTGAGAATTTTTCAAGACTCTCAGTTCTGGTTCTTTTTTTCATGGTAATTCTGTCTTTAATTCATTTCATTTCCCTTATACTTTTACTATAAGGAGTCAAGAGGAGCCAAGCCTCTCCTTTAACATTTTGCTTATAAATCTCATCAGTTAAATATCCAATTTCAATGCTCACATGTTTCACTTCCACAAAACACTAGAGTGTTTTAGATGAACAAAATTCATCCAAGTGCTTTGGCACTTTATAACAAGGGTGGCCTTTCCTCTAGTTTCCAATAACATGTTCATTTCCATTTGAGACCTCATCAGAATGGCTTTTATATTTCATATTTCTACCAATATCTGTCCATGATTACTTATGTATGTTCTAGGAAGACAGGAGCTTTTTATAAAGTTCTATTTTCTTTCTGAGCCTTTACCAGAATTACCTTTAAACTTGCTTTAATGGCAATATTGCCATTGTAGAGCATGCACTCTAAAGTTCTTGGAGCATCTCTCCATTACCCAGTTTTAAGGAGGTTTCCATACTTTTAGGTATTTGTTGCAGCAGCGCTTTACTTCTCAGTACCAATTTTGTCTCAGTCAGCTTGTGTTACTATAATACAGTACCATAGGCTAGGTGACTTAAACAGCAAACATTTCTTTCTCAAGTCAAAGATCAGCATGCCTGTATTATAGAATTCTTGATGAATGCTCTATTACTGGTTTGAAGAGGGCTATCTTCTTTTATTCTCATAGTGAAAAGAGTACTAGCTATCTGTCTGGCCTCTTATAAAACCTCCACCCTCATTGTCTAATTACCTTCCAAAGCACTTACT